TATTCCATATCTGCTAACCATTTCCGAAGCGGCTAACGAAAAGTTGATCGAACGGTGCCTCAAAAACAGGCGTCGATTCGAGGAAAGTCGAAAGGGCAAAAAGTCGGTTCTACGGGACCCACCCACTAACGAGGAGTCACAGCCCTCGACCTGAGAGGTGCACCAAGCCAACCGGATAGGGATGATCCAGACCGTAGATTTTGCTTCGGAAAAACCCGAGGTATTCCTAAGGGCCTATCCTATAACCTGGAAAAGCGTAGAGTGTGACTGTGAGGTCTGGGGAAACCCCTCGGCCGCCATCCTAGACTCGGGATCATCAGCGGTCGCCATTTTTTGGAGATTGACGAAACAGTTGGCGGGAAGGACAGGTTCAGCCCCTCCGGCCGGATGAACGGTATATATCCGCTACGGAAGATAGTATTATTGTTAAGGGCGAATAACGAACGTGCCCATACGGGTGGGGCGAGTGCATTGTTTGTGTGACGTGATCGTGCTGGATGTACAGGCGTATGATGTTCTGCTAGGCATTCCGTGGCAGGCGGCGGTCAGAGCGCGAATGCACTTTGACAGTTGTAAGGTGGTGCTCCTATCGGCCCACCCCAAACCTCAAACGATACCAATGAGACTGGCGGTGCGCATGCGCACCCAGCCGGTGCCTCGCCTCACCACTAAAGCCCATCAAATCAACATGATCCGACGCCTGTCACCAGACGAAAATGAACCCTCGACGGAAACTGACAAGACTGATGCACCCGACCGATATCCGATCCGAGTACAGGATCGGTGGCGCCATTCTTGGCGGCGAGAACCACTGGAAATAGTTCGGAGCGAGTCCAATTGGTCGCATGCGTTCTCCTCCATGGTGCAGGGGGAACCCCTGCTGAGGGTGTCTCGAATAGCTGACCTTTCAGAACCCCCTGCGTCCTTGTATCTCCGGACGGACCCCCTACCCGAAAGGTTTACCGAGTTGAGAGGGCTGTGCGATTTATCTTTTCGACCCCCACGGCCCCTACTCACGAATGAAAAAGCCGCGATACTCCTGAAAGAGGGGGTGTCGTTTCAACCCCGAACGAGGGAGTATCGGTGGGGACCGAGGGAACTGGCGCAGGCCTTTTCGGTCGAACCCTCGGCCGAACCTGAACTGGACAGCGACAGTGAAATGGAAAGCTAGCCGATGAGTCTGACGGACAGCCAACTTATTGCGACGGTCCTTTCGGCGAAAACCGACAACTCTTTGTTTGGGGCCTCGCCCGATGCCAACGCGGCGGTCCCCACGGTTACGACGACGGTTTCCTTTCCTGGGGGAACCGTAGAAGTTCAGTTACCAGCCCGTGTTCCGGACGAATACAAACGCCTCCTCTTGGCGGTTATACGGGCCTATCCTGAGGCCGTCAGCATTCAGGACCACGGCATAGGGCTAACCCCTTTGATACAACACGCGATTGACATCGGGGATCACGCCCCGATACATTGCCGACCGTACCGATATTCCCTTAAAGAAAGGCAGCTGGCGTTGGAAAGGGTACGGGAATTCGAGCGGTTGGGGTGGGTCGAACCATCGCTGGGACCATGGTCTTTTCCCGTGGTCCTCATGCCAAAACGAAATGGCTCGGTTTGAGTATGTATCGACTACCGGAAATTGAACGCCATCACTACCAAAGATGTGTATCCCTTGCCGCAAATCGACGATTTGTTAGATGCTATCGGGGCCGCTCGAGTCTTTTCCAAGTTCGATATCCGACACGGTTTTCACCACGTCGCAGTCCGACAGGAGGACCGACCCAAAACCGCCTTTGTCCTGTTTGAGGGCACGTGGCAATGGGTACGGTGTCCTATGGAAATTTGTAACGCCCCTGCAACGTTTCAGCGGGCCATGAATATGGCCTTCGCTGAGTTCGTTAACAAAACCCGACTAACCCAGCCCCTGATCAATTTCTGAGTGATTGTGTACATGGATGATATTTTGGTCTTTTCAAAAACACACGAGTACCACGTGGAACATATTGAGTGGGTTTTGCATGCACTGAAAGATGCAGGGTTCAAAGTGGCCTTGGAGAAAAGCGAGTTCTTCTTGTCGGAGATCTCATTCTTGGGGTATATCGTCACGGTCGACGGACTAAAACCGAATCCGAGGAAGGTGGCAGCAGTTCAAGACGCCCCGATGTCGGTCACACTCACCCAGGTTCGGGTTTTTCTAGGGCTGGCATCCTATTACCGACGCTTCATCAAGGGGTTCGCCGGCATAGCGAAGCCCCTCACGAACCTGCTGAAGAAAGAGGAACAATTGATCTGGACGCGGGAATGCGAAGCAGCGTTTCAGGCGTTGAAGGAGGCTCTGACATCTGCTCCTGTATTGGCACGCCCCGACCCGACAAGACCGTTCAAACTGTACACAGACTAGCAGCCTCAGGCGATATCGGCGGTGCTGACTCAGCACGGCAAGGACGGAAGGGAGCACGTTATTGAGTATGCGTCCAAGACGCTGAGCCAGGCGCAGGCTAATTACGAAGCGTGCAAAGGTGAATGCCTGGAGGTGGTGTGGGGGATTCAGCACTTCCAACCGTATCTGTACGGCCATAAATCCGTGCTGGTAACGGATCATCAACCATTGCTGTCCCTACGCAACAACACGGACTACACGGGGACGCTGGGCAGGTGGGCGGTGCGTCTGCAAGACTATGACTTCGACATCCGCCACCGTGCCACGCGGCAGCATGGTAACGCCGACGGATTAACGCGCCTTCTGCTGCCCAACAAGTGTCCCGCCAACAAGCGACTCATTCCGTGGAGGCCAGAATTTGCGGCGACGAAACCACACTACGGGGAGCTACACGTGCTGCGTAAGGACGATGCCTGAGTCTGGAATGGAGGTTTCATCGGAGATGGCCGACGCTATCTCTCTGCCCTCATCCCACTCCCTCGCTCTCTCATCTAGCCCCAACTTGTCCCCTGAAACACACCTAAGTCCCTGTTTCTTCTGTACCTTGCCCATGATCCCGGACCAAGAAGGGTCACATCCGGGAGGGCCCAGTTTTCTTTTATGGGTACAGTGTCGTCAGTGTCATACAGTCAAATCTCACGGACAGTGCGTTAGGTACCGAAGTGAAAAGACGTGGGTCTGTCCCAACTGTAGAACGGACCAAGTCCCTACCGAGAAGCGGTATCTGGACGCTAGAACAGCCGACGGATTTGCGCCAAGTGCCCACCGAGCAGAAGCCTAGATAGACCTTCTGTTGCTACGGAGACTGTCAGGCGACTCGTTGTCAGAACTTACCAAAGTCGAACGGCGGAGAGTCACGGAGCGGGCGCATGGCTATCGCTGGCTGGGCCCGACGTTACAAAAACGGAAGGTCGATGACGACGGAGAGTCTAGCTGGTTGACGGTTCCACAACCTCTTGCTAGGTTCGATTGGACACGAGCTGCTCATGAGGAGGATGCGGTCCATTTCGCGGTCAAGTACACGGAAAAAGCCATCGAAAAGAACGGATGGTACTGGTCGGGAATTTGGGAAGATGTGAAATACATCGTTCGGAATTGCCCGGCCTGCGCGGCGGACAAGGCGCCGGTACAGATGCCTTGGACGATGGTTCCCACTTGTGCAGAGCGCCCCTTTCAGAGGGTTAGCATCGATACGACGGATATCAACGTTCCGAGAGGGCCCGTCGATCAGGGAGAGCTTAATGTTCTTTTAGTGGCCGTCGATCATTTTTCAAAATGGATTGAGGCGTACCCTATGACCAGCCGGGATTCGCAGGAAGTAGCCTGGTACGTAAATCGATTTTTGTGTATGCATCTAGACGTAGAAGAGGTACACATAGACAATGGGTCGGAATTTCAAGGCGAAGTAGAACGTCACCTAGTCAGGGCGGACGTTAAGATTATCTACTCACCGGGGCATTGGCCTCAAGCCAATGGCCTGGTAGAGAATGCCAACCGACTGATTAAAACGGCCCTTAGACAAAATATCACTGCGGGAGACACCCGACCCTGGCCGGTCATTGTCGATCACATTTTGGCCGTTTATCGGGCTACCCCACACGGTAGTACTAGGGTGTCCCCCTTTCAACTGAGAACCAATAGTGTCCCTCGGGTGCAATTGTCCCCCTTAGTAGGTACGGAAGTTAGAGCAACACGGGCCCAGAATCGAGACAAGGCCCGCTAGTACATGGACTTAATGGCTAGGGCCTATCCCCCGTTAGCTCACCGTCGGCAGCAGGCCGTACATCAGACACATCAACGGCAGATCCGTGACTACGAGAATCGACACGCGTCGGCGGGACCATTGTCCCGCTATAAAGTTGGGGACTTGGTGCAGGTACGGAAATCTGCGCGTTCCTCCAAGATCCACCCACACTACACAGGCATTTACGAGGTCACGGAAGTTGGCACATAGGGACAGCGCTCCGTGAAGCTGATTCCCCGTCACAACTCCCAGGCCCGACCGCTGACACGGCACGCTGCCGCGCTCCGGCCCTTCCAGCCATCGCTAGGTCCCCTACGGACCCCCGCTCCTGCGAGATCACCCTCTCCTTCTTCATCCTCCTCCTCTTCCCGATCTGCCTCGTCCATTGGTGCGGAGAGTTTCAGGGAGCATGATGAACCATCGCCAGCCGGAGCATGAGCCCCTCGAGCACTTCCAGACGCCGCTTGCAGATCGCTTGCTGCGGCATCGGTTTAATGAGGAGAGGCAGTTGCGGTACGACATCCAACAGGTGAACGTGCCAGCGCGCGGGGCTGCTGATTTGGCAGCGTACTCGTTGCTTTGCGATCGGCTGACATATGCGGGAGTGTACGTGGACGTGACTCAGTTGCCTGGCCGGGAGACGACCCGAGTATTCATTGAGTTCTGTGCGCTCCAGGTGGCACCCAACTTCGTGCACAGCGTCGCCACCTTCATGGGAGACTTGACGGTCCTACCGCAGCAGAATCAGGAACCGGCGCGCAGCTTTGTGGGCGAATACGCGGTGGAAGCGGCCAGATCAGTGGCCAAAGTGCAAGGACGGGGGGGACACCGATTCACAGCCCACGAAGTGCTGCTGCATAGGGCAGAGGACGGACCGATTGCGTTGGTGCCGCAACTCCCCGCGCTTCTCCCTCCCGCTGCTCCTCTCAACCTCCAAGCTATTCCCCCTGTCGCGTACTAAATGCCTCCTTTCTTCTCCTACACCACCCTCCCCTACCAGCTCACGGAGGACCCTTACCCCATGCGCGAGTTCTCGAAGTATTTGGTGGAGCTAACTGACGTGGAGCCGCTGCCCATCGCCGACGAAGACGCGTGGGAGTTGCACCGTGCGCTGTACAAGTCGGTGGCGCTGGGGATGTTCCGGTTTTTCGTGGATCACGAAGACCACGCTATCGGGGAGCATTTCGTCGTTTACTACGTCATCTCGTGGCCCAAGCCAGCGGAGAAGGAAGGGACGGTGGCGCTGTACCCCTTCGCCCCGCTCCAGACAATCGATCCGGGATTGTTGGAGCTCATACATCTTGAGCTCCTCTCCATTGCGCAAGTGATCGCGAGTGAGGAGGAGGAGATCCAACCACGATTGCGGACGGCGACGGCCCCGTGGAGAACGTACAACGCGGTCGTCATCCCGGATTACATTGCGCAGCGCGCGGAGAGATTGGAGGACTTCCCGGAGGAAAGGCCGTTGCGTCCTCCCTCGTCGTATCCTCGACCAGCGCAACCGAAGGCCCCCAAGAAGACGCCGAAGAGGAAGAGACGCCACCCGTCGCCAGGAGCGCAAGGCAGCAGGATCGGCGGCGGCGAGGAGGTGGTTCAGCCCGCGCGTACGTGGATTTCTGACCCTGTGCCTGGGAGCGCGGCGATGCTCGTTAAGGAGACTATCGTGCCATCGCCGCCCATTCCACGTGTGCCCGATCTCAATCTTGATGGAGCCGGGCCATCATCATCAGCAGCAGCCGGAGGAGGAAGCCGAATGGGATTTCCGAATCCCATATCCAGACCCCCCGTCCTCGCGGGACCTCTCTGTTCCCGCCAGCCACCCCGGGGTGCCCCGGTCATTGACATTAGTAGTTCMTCCGAGCCGGACGGTCCATCCGACCGAGGTGGACTTCATGGTGGAGCCCGCCAYCATCAGGCTCGAGGCCATCGMGGGGGCGCCGCGCCCTGATCCGGCGTGGGAGCCATATCTGACACCCCCTTTCCAAGGGTGTATTGCGGCGCGATTGGCGGGGACGCTCATCTACGAGACCGGGCAGCATCCAAATGCAATGTACCACTTCCTGGTCTTCGCGGCGCAGAAGCGGGAGCGGCGGCCTTACACCGAGACTCATGTGGTGCTGACGGGTCCAGGGCCCCGATCGGTGCGCAAGCGGGTGGTGCGAGCGGTAGCGGATCCGGCGCCACGTGTCCTCTCACATGTGCCGGGGGCTTTCCTTTACCCCTCATTCGTCCAACATCACTTCCATGAGGAAGATGCGCCAATGACTCCTGCGGCAATGGCCGCTTTTCTTCCACCTATTCTGCCCCCTCTCAATCCCGACATAGATCACTTCCTCTGATCACCCTCGTCTACCTTTCCCCTGTCCTCTCCTCCTCCTTTTCCTCTTTTTCTTCTTCTTTTTCGGATCTAAAAGCTCGCGCGACGATACGCGCTGTATATATATATATAAAAATAATAATAATAAAAAAATCTTTTTACTTACCGATCGGGCCAGTTGACGATGAAGGGGCCGCCCGATCGAATGTATACTATGGGAGGAGGCGATGGAGGATGCAGGATGCATCCACGTAGATTAGGAAGATGATTGGGCCAGCTGACGATGAAGAGGCCGCCCGATCATCCATGATATGATGGCATCAGCAGTCGGGAGACTGCTAATTTTTCGGAACCCCCTGCGTATCACAGATGTGATAAGCTCAGATCCGTACCGCGCGGCTTGCCGTATCCCCGAGGAAAAATCCCGCAGAAGCCCCGATGTACGAACGTGGATAGAAAGGGGTTTTTCTTTCTTTTTGCTTTTGTTTTCTTTTTGAAACAGCTTTTTCATTTTGTTTGGTTAATAACTCCCGCGGGCGAATAGCGGCCGCGGTATGAAAACCAAGAAACGGGTGCGGTTGGGACTTTTTGAATTTTTGCGCGCGCGCCCAAGCTCCGGTTTCTTCGTGCGTCTCGCATCCCCGTTTCTTGCTTTTCATCCTCACACCATCTTCCCTTCTTGCTGTGCGTGTTTTCCCCATGCAGGACTTTTCGTCTTTCCCTACGCCCAGCTTGATCCTTAACCCGTCTTCCTCCGCGAAGTGATTGGCTGCATAGTTGGGATGCTCGGATCAACGTGGAAAGCGGAAAATCGCGCACCACTTGGACCAACACCCCAATCACGTAGCCATGCAATCCCGCGGATCAAACCCTCTAACTCCCCACCTCTCTCTCCTGTCCTGCTTATCTACACCCTGCGATGCCCGCACCTCGCGCTGTTAACCCGCCGCCTCCCGCGCTATAAATTTGCGCAACCCTCTCCTCTCCCTCTCTTTGATCTTGGCTGCAATGCTGCGCGAGCTATGCACGAGAGTCCGTGGCGCCGAACAGGCTCGACGAGCCCAAGGACGGGCAGAGTGACGACGTGGGGTGGACCCCGCGGTAGTCTCAGGGCGAAGCAGTCGGAGGGACTGAGCAGTGGTGGGGATTGGACGCCAGCCGCGGCAGGGCCTTGTGGCTATGGTGGTCGGTGGTCTTGGGAAGTTTTGAAGGCTGCGCCTAGGGGCAGCAGTTAATTGAAATTTTTGTGTACAAGAAGGACTCGCTTTTATCTCCATTGCTGCTTTGTCTATGCATGTCGTGTGTGTGAAGCCCCGATTGATGGGAGCTGGTTATGTGCATGAGTGACGTCGAAGGTCCATGGATGATTAGATGTCCTGACAAGGGTTGTTGATTGCATGCATGTATGTGTGTATGTACTGGTCCGGGTGGGGATGGGAAAACTGAACTGGGGGACCGTCTGCTTAGGAGTATGAGTGTGTTGATCCGGTTGTTCCCCTCCCCTCCGCGGCCTTTCCTGCGCTCCCGCGCGGGCTTGGCGTAACTCTCTCTCTCTCCCTTTTCGATCGCCTTCCTCTTGAACTAACAATCATCGCCTTTTAGAGCTTCTCGYCCCCGTMCCGGTGACGTCAACCGCCTGCGTCCGCGCGGACGGTCGACGCCCCTGCCAAGGGGAGAAAGCTTAGATTTCGTCATCCTCCCCCTACGCACCCACTTTCGAGAGAGAAGAGTTGCGACGTTTGTTGTATAGATTCGGTGTTGGTTCGGATGACCGGGAACGCGGGATCTTGCCCGTGTTCACCACGTTCCTCCGATTGTCTCATTTCGATACCGACCTTCCCCATCACATATGACGACATCGTCTACTGCGATGCGGACGTACGGCGCGCGCTGAGGCGGACGGAGCAAGTGTGTTGGCAAGACCCGCCTCGGGCTTGTGAGATAAGGGGGAACGGGTTTGTGTTGATTGATCGCTTTGACTCCCCGACTTTAATATTGCCTTATACGGGTTTAACGGTGTTGCCCTGGTCGGCCGCTCACGCCATAGGACCACCAAATGTGAAATTGGTATTCAATCTTTGTCTCCTCGGAGGTTAGACAGAAGAGGTTAACTACCATTCGCTTACATGTGCACCAACTGCCTGTCGGTACACACTGATGGATGAAGAGCCATTCCAGACTTGCGTGTTTGACAACTAGGTATCTCTTCAGTATCTTCCCGAATGATTGAATCCAGGATAGAGTACTGCAGGAAAAACCCAACTTGAGTTGGTTGTGGTCTCCCGTATTCTTCAACACCATGCATAGCTCATTAGCCTTCGACTTTAGCTTGTAGCCAAGTGAGACCGTGTAGTTGATGATTGAAGTTTGTGCATTGGCTTCTGCTATATTGTTCCAACCATATATTTCTGCATCAACCTTCCCTTTCTTAACTGGTTGTCCTTCTAACAGCAGTTCGAAGGTAGGGGCTGTCCCTTTTGGAGTTTTCTTGGTTGATTCCTTCACTCTAATCAGGCTGCAAGAGTCCGCTGACAGGATAGACACTTGATGATTCTGTTGACCTTGACTGGGGTCTTCATTCAGCGGGACCTTCTGAAGACCGTGACACCCTGATTTCCACCTGGAACATTTGAGGTTGTCGCCATCCATAATTTATTCAATCTTTCAAAAAAATCCTCCTTCCTCATCATCCACTACCCACATTCCCTTTTTAAAGGTTTTGGTACACAACATGTCGTTCCACTTTGCAGGGACTGACTGGTGAACAAGGAACAGACAGTTATGCAAAGTGCTATCGAGACCAATCACCGCTGCTATTTCCCTTTCCAATTTCCATTCTTTCCTCTTTTCATCCCACAGATCCCTGATCTGTGATATCCCTTTCTATACCCATTTCAAACTAAATCCCCCTGCATTGTCCCTAATCTTCAGGGTATACCCTTGAGGAGTCTTGATAAGCTGATTTTCGAAGACATGTTGAAGGAGAACTTCATTTATGGCCTTTGGTTCTCTGAGCCATGCCTCCAGGATTGGCTTCCAAACCTCCGATTGAATCATTTTGTTAAGGAAGGGATGAAGTAACAGAGAGACCCATACATCCTTGGGTCTGGAAAGTCCCCACTCCTTGGCCAGCAAAGCCTCTGCCAGTAAGATCCATGGTTCACTAACAGGATCCAGAAGACCCCTTATCACCCACTTGCACAAAAGGGTTTGGTTTTGGATCAGCAGATCCAATAAACCTAGACCTCCATTATTGCGTTTTTGGGTTATCTTCCACCATGCAACTTTGGGCAAAGCATTGCCACATTCCACTGTACTTTTCCATAGGTAGTTCGTTGTCTTCTTTCGGATTCTCTTGGCTGATGAAGGTGTCAAGGCCCTGATCGTAAGAACATACCAGAGAATTGAGAAGACCAACGCGTTGATGACCAAGGCTCTTCCAAACAGAGAGATGGACCAGAAGGATGACCATCTGGCTAGTCCGTTGTAAACCTTGTCCTCAAGAAGTTGATTTTGTCTAGCTTGGCAATTTGAAAAGGATATCTTCACTCCCAGAAAACGTTTTGAAGATTCACTAGATCTGAGTTCTAAGCCCAAATCTAAGGTGAGTGGAGAGTCATCATTATTTTTTTTATTTTATTTTTTTTAATTGGCTCCATTCTATTGGTTGGGAGCTGCACCTGTTGGAAACCGGGTCCAGCGTCCCATTAACAGAATAAATAGGCAATAGTTGGTACCTCTTCACCCCCCTTCGGAGGGTGCCATAGTTGGTACCTCTTCACCCCCCTTCGTAGGGCGCCAAATATTTTCTTTCTACATTAGCACCACAAGCTATCCCTAGGGTCAAGATCACTTAGTTAATCTAAACCATACCAACTCAAAGGAACCAAGCACAAAGATGATAATGAGAATGGGTCAGGGAAGTTTGATAATGGCCTCAGCGGGATCGAAGGATCCACATTAGTCCAATCATGAAAAGATAGTTGATAGATCCTTCTGAATTCTGGCTGCCCCCCTTTCATATTCACTCTTTTCTCTCCCTTCTACTTTATCACTCCCACCTTTCCTTCCTTGGTATCCCCCAACCAGTCGCTGCTGAATTGTTGAATGTGACGGTCAATTTCCAATTGGATCGAAACATGTTGAATATTTTCTTTGACTTTATCCCATTGAGCCAATATCTCAGTTTAATTCTGTTGTTTTATTGAATCTATGAATTCTGGGCCTTCCAGCCTAACTCCTTCCATCTCATTCATACAACGTCTGTGCCAAAGGGCCCATAAGATGACTCTCCTCCCAACCTGATAGAGATTTTGAGTGAAATCATCCAGCAAAGGGGGATTCCGTGTTTCACATAGAAGGGCTTTCCAATCCCATAGCCAAGGGTATGAAGATGTGAGTTGACTCCAGATCCTATCCCACCACCTCCATAACCATACCGCACTGGGACACTGTGTTCTATGGTTTTTGGAATTGCTCTTGATGGGAAGGTTGATGTACAAAACTTGCACCAGGGTAGGGCTAAACCCCTTTGTTCAAGATTAGTTATGTCTATAATCCAATCATTTGTGGGAAGACAGCGATGATCAACTGCCATTGCAGTGAGGCAACCTTAGCCGGTTTGATTTTAATGGTTCTAAACCATTTGATAGAGCGCAATGAATCTTTACTAATGTTCAAATGTCTCATCCAACGATCTTCCACTTTATCTCTT